AGCAGGACACCTGAGCACCATTTAGTTTCTTTCCAACAGGGTAACTAAAGAGATGTGGTCATCTGAGTCTAATAAGCAGCCTGTGCCTGTGCAGAGCTGTGCTTCTGTGACTGGAAACACTGACTTCCAGCTAAGGATAAACCCCAGGACCTCCACTGCATGAGGTGCACTGCAGGGCTCCACTTTCAAACACAGCCAATGCCAGGGCTCAGTGTCTACACCCTTCTCTTCTTCACAGCCTTGAGATAGATGCTGCACATCTTCCAAAACTACACTGTGCAATGACAGCCACTGAGAGGCTGAAGCTTTTGTGCATGATCATGTATTTGGTTAGTCCCTCTCCAGATACTGGTGCTTTCTAATAAGTCTAAAGTTCATTTCATAATACCCATAGAATCAACCGGGTTGGAAAAGACCTTTAAGATCATCAAGTCCAGTCCAAGAGTGGAAATTTTCTCCTAAATGAAATGTTAGAATGAAACAATCTCCAAATCTTCCACCCATCACCCAAAGCATTCACCAATGCCCAGCAGCAACTCGGACTTGATTCTCTTCAGATAACTTCCCCTCACCTTGATTTCCCTAGTCAGGGTGATCTCTTTTCCTGGTGAAGAAGGTGGCACTGGTATAACTACAAGAAAAGGTTGCATTTGCAGGAGGATGGTAAATGCTCAGTGTTTAGCAGCACGAAATACACCCCAAACCAACCATGCTTCAGTGTGCTTGTCTCGTATCATCCTGACCTTTCAAGGCTCCAGAGTTTGACAGAACCATCAGCTGCACATGAGGCCAGGTTAACATCCTTCTTGTCCAGGGAGACAGTGGCTTTGGGATGGAAAACTATTGCTCCTACATTGGTGCTGTGTCCTTAAGAGAAAGGAAAAATCAAAATTCACAATCTGCCATTGTGATCTTGGCCAGTTCTTCAGAAAAGCAGCATTTCCTTGTTGCTCATTAGCTGGGTACCAGTGAACACTGTCACTGTGTCCTCCCACGTGGTGTGAAGTTGCATTGCAACTACCAGCCACAGCTGTCCTGCCAACAGCTACGCTGCACTTCCAGTAGCACCCACTTCAGAGTGTCCAACACAAAGGTTTCTAACACTCAAAATGTAGTGAGAATTCAACACTTGAATCCAGAGATTTGTCCTCACCTTTGTACTTAGTCAAAGTTGTGACCACTGTTCAAAGAACCTCACTGCTGGCAAGTGACTTGGCCAAAAACACTGATATTTGGCTCTAAATAATTCAAACCAGGTTTTGAAACAAAACCATTTAGAAACAAGAACAGCAAATTCGGGTCTCAGCTCTAAGAGAAGGGCCAGGACTTCCTCCTGATTACCTGACATGTGCGCCAGCTCCCCAATGCTCTCATGAGAACAAAACCTGCCCAAAGATCACTACATTTGGAGCCACAAAGTAATTCAGAAATGGAAACTCAGCCCAGAGAGGAACAGAACTCAGCAAAGAGTGAAAGTGGCTCTCACCTCGTAAAGTGTGGACAAGGTTGCAGTCAGGCACGGACCAGAGCTTGCACAACCCACTCCTGTTGATGACAAGAAATAGGTGTCAGTGCAGGCAGGAATGTCAAAGAGCAGATCAAACCCAGGGCTGCAAAACCACCTGGGGCGGGGGCAGCTGCAGTGGCTGAAATACCAATGCACTTGGGGCAACCAGCCATGGCAACTAATGGACTCAGACTGAAATCTCTCCTAGGCTCTAAAATGAAGGGAGGAGAGTTCAGAGTAGGAAGAAAAAGCATTTCTGAACTCTCCTGATTCACCAGCCTCCAGTAACACCCCTCTCCTTCAGTCCTGCTGTGCTCTCCAGCCCCTAAAGCAAGTGCTATGGAAGGAAACTCACCAGCAGGCAGTAGCGAGGAGTTTGGAATTGGGGCTGAAGTGGCAGTAGGACAGCGGGCGATCGTCTCCAATCTGGCTGCAGAAGTTATTCAGGGACTGAAACCAAACACAAAGAAAACAATAACTGAGAAAAGTACAACCTGGAGAAAGCCCCAGGCAAAGACTGGGGTGAAGGAGGAGGCAGAGGCCTTTGGAAAGTTGCTTTCAAAGGGAGGAGTTGCCCCAGAGCCACTCCAGCTCCAAGCAGGCAACAGAGCTGAACTGATGCAGGCCTGGGGCACAGTGCAGCTCTCCAGTGCCACCCATGGTACTGGCTGGCCACCAAGAACCCCTCAGGCCTGCTTTGCAACTGTGGTTTTGAGAGACAACTTCCTGTACCTTTGGCTTTTCCACATCTCATCCAGTGAATGCAACCAGACAGATGAGGGCAGGCACTGTGGTGTGCTGAGGGCAAAAGCAAACCCTGTGGCAGCTATTGCCTCTGGGGATAAACTGGATTTGTGGCGGGAGCCTCTCTGTTGGGTTAAGCTGGGAATCTGACTCAACATGCTCACAAGGGTGTCTCAGAGTCATCTGAAACATGGTTATTGTGGTGTTGGTTATAATTTCCCTTGGGTTTTTGCACTGGTGACCACTGTAGAGGAGAGGAAAGCGAGCAGCCCCTTCCTCACCAGCTAAACCTGTGACAGAGCCAGGAACAAATTCCTTTAGCTTTATAGGCAAGTGGCAAGGCAGGGCATGGATGTCTGCTCATCCTTCTGCTGTTTAAGGGGACAACTACAGTACATCTCTCCAAATCCCTGAATGAATCAGAACACGCGTTATGCATACCACAGGGGAAGGGAGAAAAAGCAGAGCTTCCCAACAGGTGACTACAGAAAACCACACACATCTGGAGAGCACTTGTGGGCACTGACCCTTCCTGGTGCCTTTGGAGGAGCAGCCAGAAGCTGTAAAAGCAGCAGCCAAACCTACCCGCAGGGATTTGTGTAGCTCCTGCCTCTGCGACGTCCTGGTGGCCTCTGGGATCTCTTTGAGCAGTCGGGCTTCTTCCAACCGCTTCGCTGCCCTGCGGAGAGCAACAGGGGAGTAAAATCCCCTGCACTGTCCTACCCTGCCCGTGCCCTCATCTTCCCCTGAGCTAGGCTGATGTTAGAGTCAGTCACGGAGCACTCGAGCTCTACACTTACTGGACTTGTATACCCCTGGATGTTCCCCATTTCTCTGACCTTCAGATTTCCTGCACTACCCACAGTGGGATGAGCAGCCAGACTTTACACCAGGTTGTGCCTCCTCCTTCCTTTGTGCTGCTGGGTCTCACCTGGGGAGTGAGTAGTTCGCAAGCCAGAGCCGCGCTGTTTTCAGGCTGCGTGGTCCTTCGTGGTACCAGGTTTGCTGATACTGCAAGAGAAAGAACACAACTGACATGATGCTGCTCTTCCACTTGGTGACCTCTTAGCAGATAAGTGCCACCACAACATCTGCTCTTAAATCTGGCTGTGTCAAGGTCTCTTTTTAAGAGCATTTTGCATAACTATAAGCCTTAGAAAATGTAATTAAGAGAGACAAGTCAAACTCTGCCCTGCAGATAAATCCTGATGTGCTGCCACTTCACTCAAGAATATTCCAGTTCTGACTCATTTTTACTTGATGAATTACAGCTCCTTCCTTCTCTACACATCCCCCCAGAAAAGAAAAGCTCAGAGCTGCAGAAATTGTCCCCGTTTCTGAAGCAGCCTCCCAAAATAGTACAGAAAAAACGGACTTAGAAAAGAGACAGAAGAAGCAGAAAGAAAGAAGAATCAAGGGCAGAAACAGATGCAGGAGCAGGAACATTTTTTCTTCCCAAGTACGAAGACATCAGTAAAGGACCTGCTAGACTAAGGAACAGTTCAAACACCTGCTCTGCTCTTACATGCCGTATGGAATTTGTCCTGCAAGCACAGGCCAACTGAATGACCCTGATTTAGAGTTGCTAAGACATGCAACACAGAATAAGCATGAAGGGATAAAATGGGAACCCCCAGATTGACCCAAACCAGGAGTCCTGGGCAGAGCAGAGACCACCAAAGCCAGGTATCACACAAGCCTCCCTCGGCACTGAGGGAACAGGGAGACCATTACCTCTTCTCTGGACTTTTTAGACCTGTCATCATCTTTCCTGGTCTTTTTTAATGCGTCTGTGCCAACCACGGAAAGGATATTCCTTAACCTGGAAGGAAACACATCAAGTTGTATTCAGGCTGTGAATTCTCAGCTAAGCTGACGATCATCCCCTGCCGACTGCTCTTTCTTCCTCAGTGTTCTTGTGGCATTATAAGGAAGTGTTACTCACTGCACCCCAACTACATGGAAAACATCCATCAGGAATTGGACAAACTCCAAGTTCCCCATAAGCAGAACTGAGGCAGACACAGCACCTCTCCCTCCTTTCTGCAGGACCTTCTCCAAAGAGAGTGATGGGCTCCCCAAGCGCCCGCAAACAGGCTTTGACTTCAGAGTCATCGGTGGACACGTTGATCTGCCGGGCTCGCTTCCTGCGCTCAAACTCCGCCAGCACCTCAGCCTGACGCTCACTCATGTGGTCTTCAAGGTCAAAGACCTCACCTAAGCAACAAACAGAGCTGTCAGATCACAGCAGTGCTGGATGAGAGAACCACAGACTGGTTTGTGTTGGAAAGGAGCTTAAAGCTCCTCCAGTTCCAACCCCTGCCACGGGCAGGGACACCTTCCACTAGAGCAGGTTGCTCCAAGCCCCTGTGTCCAACCTGGCCTTCAACACTGCCAGGGATGGGGCAGCCACAGCTTCTCTGGGCACCCTGGGCCAGCGCCTCAGCACCCTCTCAGGGAAGAGCTTCTGCCCAAGAGCTCATCTCAATCTCCCCTCTGGCAGCTTAAAGCCATTCCCCTTGTCCTGTCCCTACAGGCCCTTGTCCAAAGCCCCTCTCCAGGTTTCCTGGAGCTCCTTTAAGCACTGGAGCTGCATTAAGGTCTCCCTTAAGGAGCCTTCTCTTCTCCAGCTGACCCAGCCCAGCTCTCTCAGCCTGGCTCCAGAGCAGAGCTGCTCCAGCTCTGTGTTTGTGCTGGGGGTCGCCCTAACTCAGAGGCAGGACCAGATCCCTCTCAAACAGGAAAAGCCAAACAAAGAGCCATTGGTCCAGGCAACAGTCTCATGGCTTTGATTTTAAACTATCCTAAAAGCTAATCACAGACTTTTGAAAGTGTCACACTGTAGAACATGATGATTCAACATCCTCACCACTGCTAATGTTGATGTTGCCAGCCTCCATCGCCGCTTTCATCCCCTCTTTCCCCAGCAGCCCTGACTCCCCCTTTGCCAGACGCTCCCTCTCCTTCTCTTCCAGGCTCCCATAGAAGATGGGGGCTCTCTTGGCCGGGGGAGCATCGCTCTCTTCTGCAGGCTTGGTCTTGGTGGCCTGGAAAGTAAAGGCAGAACTTTAAGTGTGTTTTGGCTGACAAGGAGCCAGCGAACAGTTCTGGGTGCAGGGGAGGGCAGTGGGGACGTCGTGATGAGACTGGGACACTCTGTTTGAGGTGGCAGCTTTGGCCCAAATGCAATGGGCAGAAGTAAAATGTCCCATTAAGGAACATGCCTCAACTAGGCTCTGGTGTGTGCTAAGTCACTGGGACCTGCTCAGACCTCACTTTTAAGGCTGTTTTGATTAATCTAAAGAAAAGCAATGTCATAACACGGAGCTTTTCCCCATCCCGCTGGAGGAGGAGGCGATGCCGCAGCCCGCGCTCAGAGCCGCTGTGGGACGCGGTGGGTGAGCGGCTCCTGCTCCCGGGAGAGGGGCCCCGGAACGAGCATCCCGGGAGGAATCAGAGGATCCTGTCAAATCCCACCCCGCTGCCACGGGGGGAGC